GTTGTAGATTTTCTGATGTGCTTGGGATCATTGTCCTGTTGCATGACCCAATACCGGCCAAGCTTTACGTGTCTGACAGATGGCCTCACATTTGACTCTAGAATTCTTTGGTAAACCAAGGAGTTTACAGTTGACTCAATAACTACAAGGTCCCCATGTCCCACATCATCATCCCCCACAACATTGCTTGACAGTTGGTATGAGGTGTTTTTGCTAATATGCTCTGTTTGGTTTTCACCAAACGTGGCGCTGTGCATTATGGTCAAACATTTCCACTGTCCAACGAAGTCTTGTAGTTTGTTCGATGCAACTTTGCAAACCTAAGCTGTACTGCCATTTTCTTTCTAAAGAGAAGAGGTGTTCTCTCTTTCTCCTTGCAACATGTTCAAACAAACCATTGTTGTTCAGTCTTTTTCTAATAGTGCTGCTGGAATTTATACATTGGGGTTTGCTGTATGTACATGTACACCTATTCTTTTTGTATCTAAATGTTATTCACATTTTTGTTGTTTATTTGGAATCCCAAATGAAACAGGAAGCCAATATAGAAACTAACAGAGCAGTGCAGTGTGAGCATCCACATGAATGCCAGGACCCAAGTTTTCCCAGCAGAATATTGCTCAGAACATAACACTGTCTCCAGTGCCCTGCCTTCTTTCCATAGTGCATCCTGCTGCCATCGCTTCCCTGGAAAACAATGCACCCGCACCCAGATATCCTGATTTAACAGGAAACCTGATTCATTAGACTAGGCAACCTTCATCCATTGCTCCATGGTTCAGTTCTGATGCTTAAAACCCATTAAAGGCACTTTTGGAGGTGGACAGTGGTCATCATGGGCACTCTGAGCATTCTAAAGCAATGCAGCCCCATATACAGCAGACTGTAATGCACTGCATGTTGTGACACCTTCCTATTATGTGCGATATTATGTTTTTCAGCAATTCCAGCTACAGTAGCTCATTTGTGTAATCAGGTTAGATGGGCTAGCTTTCAATCCCCAAGTGCATCAATGAACTTTAGCATACGTGACCCTGTCGCCAGTTCATCAGTTGTGCTTCCATGCATTACTTTAGGTGGGTACTAACCTCTGCATACCATGAACACCCATAAGACTCTGACCCAATTATCTAGCCATCACTATTTGGCCCTTGTCAAAGTCACTCATATCTTTTTTCTTACTCTAGAGGGATGCAGGAAGCTGCTAGGAAGAAGTAGGATATATAACATATAGGCTCATTTCTAACTAGAAATATTGGCTGGAAAAGCAAGGTGTGAAAAGACTGGATAAATCAATAAAAGGAATCTGAAAGACAGGAGATTAGAGAAGCTGGGAACAGACTGTTTATGAGATGGCATTAATGAATGAATAAAAGCATATTTTTGCCTTAAGTTTGCTGCAACTGCAGTTAGCTGCCTCCCACATCTATAAACACATGTATTACACAAAACTTGTATATGCATGTAGCATACATTACACCAACATATACATTTAATAGATACATAAAATACATTTATACATGTTTTTGTTTTTTTAAACACCCATTGTATATGTTTGAACAAAGCATCACACACATTACAGGTAGGCAGGACCCAGTTTATCGCAAAAGTGCTCTGCGTGAATGTTAAGACTGCTTTGTGTTTGACTATAATGTTTAGTATATAGTACTGGATGTACAAATATTATGATTCCTGTGCTAAGCTGGTGCAATTTCAAGCTGATATAAACTTAAATATTTCTGTATGCATATTTGCAATGTCCATTTTAAGCCTCCACATGTCAACCCAGTCTATCTGTCCATCTTACAAGCCTTACTGCTCTATTCTTAACTCTCTCACTATTCTCAAACTGTGAATCCTTTCTCCAGACTCACGTATTCACTCCACTCTTTCCCATCTTACTAGCAGGCAGAAACTGGAAGCACTAAATAGCCAGACTCCTGCCACCATTGTCACTTCAAATCACTGAAGTGGTGATGGTTGTTGGAGTAACCTTTTCAGTTCCAATTTTCCATTCCCTCTGCAAAAAAAACAAAAAACGTTTCAGACAAGAGCATGTGAGGAGTACTAAAATATATTTTTGTTCTTTAGATCATGAACCTATTGCAAGGATGGACCTGGAGCTGCAGCTCCATTAGCCCCTATGTTAATCCAGCCCTGCATGTTTCCATTCTTCATATTTTACATGTTCATTTTCTGATAGTTTTGACAATATGATTTTTGTTATCTTATATATATTATATACATACATTAATGTTGGAACAGAAACCAAGAAAATATAAAATAATGAAGTTAATGCAAAAGTAAATTATTAACCAGGAGAAGGTCAACATTATTGAACTGTATTTATGACCGCTAAATATAATATTTAGAGACTTATTGACGGCATTTTAAGTTGAATTGGTAAGCAATTTGGAAAATATAAGCTTGAATTGCTCAATTTGATAAAAATTGTCAACTGCCAATTTGGTAAAAGTATTGTTTTCACTTAATGAGTAGCCCTGTATATTGTATACCCCAGAAGCAAAGCTGTTAAGGGAATATGCCATTGCCTATTATAAGTAATGCAGTAGACCTCCTTTAACCTTATACAGTGGACCTTAGACCAGCTAGCATTCCTTTTAAAATCAAGGCTGAAAACCTTGAATATATAAAAGGCAATTAATATATTGAAAACAGTATGTTTCTCACAGTAGACCATTTATGAATTTGAGATCACACTCTAGTGAATAGAATGAGAATATGTAAATTGTAAATACAATGTTACAAGGATTTAAAAGGTTTCTTTTGCGTTTTTAATTCTGTCTAGAGAGAGGAAGTCATCAAGGAACGTCTTGTTTTCAAAATAAAAAGTGGCATGCAGATACTTAAAAATAATACATTAAATGAAGATATACTGAATGCAAAACACTCTTTTCCATTTGGCTCTATAATTTTTATTGTTCCTAGTTAAGATTAGTTGAAAGAGAAGCAATTGCACATATCTTTAGTTTGTTTAGATAAAGTGTTTTATATTGTTTTATTTAATAAGATTGTATTTTCACATGGAAGGTGTTTTTTTGTTTGTTTCTTTGTTTTGTTTTTGATTTCTTTATTTGCTTATGGAACCATCTAAGCCTTCTTAGCACTAGTTGGGATTTATCTGACACTCTAGGATCTATTTACTAAACAGCAAGTTGTGGCAATTTGTAAAGTGACTTGGATAAAATACCTGATTTAACAGACTTGGGATTCTTTCTTTCTTTGTTTGTTTCTTTGTTTCCTTATTTGCACTGAACTCAAGAGGCAACAATTGCTCAGATCACCTGCCTTGCAAAGAGTTCTCAGTTTCATTGGGAAGCCTGTGATTGGACAGCCACAGGAGGTCTGGGTAAGGCTAGAAGGGGAGGGCTTGCAAATGCACCAGACAAGAGATCTGCAGTTTTTGCAAGTTGTTTTTTAGATATAACTCCAATGAAAAATGCATAACTAACTGCTTACAAGTTTTTATTTAGGTTATATCTAGAAAACAGTAATTTTATTTATTTATTTTGTATTTGTGCAGTGGATTGTCCCTTTAAATATACAATGTGCAGGAACAAGAAACTCTTCTTTTTTTTTTTTTCAAAACAGCTATTTTAAACTTAATTCTGCAGTTTGGTTTTCAATTTACAAAAATTTGGTGCTTAGTGACTACAGCCCAGCAGCGTTGCAATGTTTTTGCTGTTCAGTGCTGTGATTGAGAAGATACTGGGTGCTAACTCCTATTGCAGAGAGGCATTCCCATGTAATCCTCTCTGATTCTCTTCTTCGTTAATATTTCTTCCTAATACATCTATTTTACCACCAAATATTCTCTGGAGAAGGAAAAGAGCCTATAGAGAATGTCATTTTTGCTGGAAGTTACTGCATTTGTTTTAGAAATTGTTTCCATTTGTTGCTGCTGGAAGTTCATTCTGGTGGCTATTATATGATAGACCTGACAGCACGAATGTACTTCAAGTTAAGCAGTTGGGCACTGAAAGATGCTGTGGAAGTTATTATCACACTGTCATGGGCCTGCGTGACAAAGCTTCACCGGCGGTATTCTGACAAAGAATTTTTTCTGACAGCGTGCACTGAACTACAAGTGCAAACAGTTAAAATAGCATTTTATTTGAAGACAAGATGAAATTGCTTTTCAGGAAGAGGAAATAACATCCACTAGCTATTCAGCTGCTGTCCAATACAACTCAAATCACGCTTTCCCATCATGCTCTGGAGGCTGGCATGAGAGAAGCTGTGACAAAAGGGCAAGTGGGTAATGCAAACGTAGGTGTTTTAACAATTAAAAGTAAATTGAAAACATATAATGTTTTTGTAGTATTACAAGTCTGTATCTGTATCAGTATCTGTAAAGCACTTCTCCCTTTCTATGCAAAGTCTGTTTCTTAGTAACCTGAGATATTCATATCCCTTAGTATATTCTAGCCCTTAGAAAACAATAGTTAAAAACCCAGATAAGCTGAAAAGTTGAATGAGTTTATGATAAAACTATGAATAATGCTAAAATACTAACCAAACTTGTTTTACCAAAATTGGTAAGATCTCCATTTTGGATATTTTGACTATTAAAGGGACACTAGAGGGGGCGGAACCTGGCCTTCCAGCCAACTACACGCATGTTACAGGGGCTCCTGTATATCTTGCTGATATTCTGGGAATATACCCAGTTACCGAGAGGAGATCAGTACCACAGTGCACTACCTAGGTCAGGAGTGCCCTGATGAACAAAACAAGCCCTCACTTGGATCTCTACGTGCCCGGGAAAACATAATATATAGCTGCGGCCTGTGTGTGTCAGCTGGGGAGAGGCGGCTGCTCTCCTCGCTCTCCTGCACACGGTGTGATAGCAAGGTCCTCCTACCCCCCTCTCTTTTGGACCAGTGGGGGATATCCTGGTCTCCACTGGACTGCCGCAAGCGGCAACAGCAGTCACTAGTAATAGCTCCAGGCTACCATCTGGATTTCACTACCACAAAATGACAAATGCCTCCACCTCTGACTTGCGGGGCACAAACCAATTGCAGAAAACCCAGCGTGACTACACTGAAAGTTTCCTACAGAGGCTTGATTACATATTTTGGCGCTTCTGGGCACAATTATCGGACCTGGTCACAGCAAATCAACCTGGACCCCAGGAAGAAACCCAGAGCGGGGTGATGAAAAGTGCAGGAAGACCCCCATCGGTTGCAAGAATTACCAGCCACATACCTGGGCAGAGAATCGACCGAGGCTTAGCCCCGTCACGCCATCCACAAATGCGCTGTCCACCCAAAAGCAACATCTACCATTCAAGTGATTCTTCTGTTACCCACTGCGGGGGAAGGACTTGGTCTCCTTGAGTCCCAGAGTCATAGCCTGTGTTTATTTTCTATTTCCCAGCATGTACACCGTATGTCTGGTCTGCAGTACTGTATGTACCTAATCGTTCAGCTTATATCCAGTGCACAGATATGAAGGCCTTCTAATAATATACCATAATGAAAATTTACAGCTTTAACAAATGCCATGTTATTACTCTTGTTGAAATGTATATATGCTATTGTGGCATTGTTTTCATGTTTGTCAGTCCTTTGCACAACAAAAATAAAGATTTTATTTTTTTTTATTTTTTTTTAAAGGACACTAGAGGCACCTAGACCACTTCAGCTGATTAAAGTGGTCTGGGTGCAGTTTCTCAGTCCCCTTTAATCCTACACTGTAAATCATTTTAGCTTTAAAGTAACTGCAATGATTACACTGCAACACTAAGACTGGCTCTAGTGGTTGTCAATCAAACAGTCACTAGAAGCTCTTCCTGCTTGCTAGGTGACTTTTGCATGAGCACATCCAGCATAAGTTAAATCCCCATAGGAAAGCATAGCAGCAATGCTTTCCTATGGGGAGGGCCTAATGCACTTGCAGCATTTGCCACGCATTAGCCTCCACCTCGTTGGATATCGGCTCTGGAATTATGTGAGTACAGTATTTTTAACCTTTTCCATGCTGGGGGGCGCAGGGTAGAGGGGATTCTCGAGTCTACATTCTTTTGCAATAGATTATTTTTCTCAAACATAACTGCTGCTATTTTTTCCTTTTTTTCCCCCTATACTGCGGTACATTGGTACTAATTGTTTCAACTGTATTCATCCCAACTATCTTCCAGGGCCTTATTAGGTATCTGCATACCTACAGCCGTAACACCATTCTATCTTTGTTAAAGTGAGTGACTATTTCAATAGGGAACTGTTACTTCCCTAGATTCTTAGTATCATGTTTACTTATCCATATATTAGACAAATACATATTTTTGATGTGTGAATTTTTATTTTTTTTTTTAAATGTAGAAATCTTCTTTATCCTGCAAACTGAGTGCCTCCATTTTAACTTCCCTGGCTATCATTATTAAAAACTATGTCCTTTACAGTTTGCAGTCAGCATGGCTAATAGATAGCAGTGGTGCATGTTTCTGCCCTAGCACGGCAGGATTAAATGTTGTTCTCGTAAACTTGTTTTACCTAGCTGGTTATAGGAATTACACCATGTTAAGTGTACCTGACATACAGATATAACATAATGTCTTCTTGCACTTTGCATTAAATCTGTTCATTGTGCTAGTCAAATGCTTTGCAAATGCATATGTCAGTTTATAAATTCTGTTTATTTTCTATCTTTATGCAATGTGTAGTGGCAAACATTCAAATTATGATCAGTGGTAGGAATGATGTGATATCTAATTCCTTACCGAAAAATATGGGGATTGGGGGAACACCCAAAACACTTATTTCTAAGCAGTGGTGCTGCCGAAAAGACCAAAACATATACAAAATACAGTTAAAGGAACAACGCACACACAAACAAAAGCAGTTTATACTGCAACTAAGTATTGCAAGTTATCAAGTAAATCTCCCATGTTAAACTTAGTGTAGAACCCACTGATACTGGGGTACTTTGACGTAGTGGTGGGCTTAACACAATATGGCCATATGGTTTAACTGAATTACTACATTCATTTGCTAAGAGAGGTGATTCTAAGGAGCCTTGTTAAATGTAAAGCTGTATTTTTGTTTGTGTGTGTGTGCTGGTCCTTCAACTGTATGATATCTAATTCCTGTCCTATGTGATGTGTTATGTGGTCAGGTGGGTGTCGTGTATGGAAGTAGAAGCAATCCAATTAACGATTTCTCATTTATGTTGATCTCTGCATTGGTGACAGCTATGTTAACTAAATGAGTAAATTCTATTTAACGGTCTAAAGCAGTTCTGGGCATTGTTTAGATGACAGGTCCACTTTACATATAAGATCAAAACGTCTGGGGAAAAAAAAATGTGTAGATGACATGATCATCTTCAATTACTTTTGCACTGGTTCCATACACTGTACTGATTTAATCTCCACTAAATGTCTAAAATATAATTATGAGAAAAACTTTGTTCAACCTCCGTGATGGTGCTATCAGATGATGTGCGGCTTCGAATAATAATGAGCATGTGTCTGCATGCTACAAATCATAGGATGCTACTATGTCACTTGGTGATGGGGTGGCTACTCATGCCGTTTTCTCTGGATGTCATAATCTAAACTTTATGTCTATGCTAAAGGCAAGTTAGAAGAAGAATAATATAATCAAATGTAGTCTCTGTATTTGCTGTCACAATGTTTATATGCCTTTTGACTCCATAAAGTGTTGCTATGCCAATAACTGCCTATGAAAAGGTACCTACAGACACTAAAGGACCCTAAAACAGAACACCGGAGAATGAAAAAAACATTTTGTGTCCATCTTGTACATAAAAGTGTGTTGTAGGTTTTCCTCCTGTGTTCCTACAGTATTTTCTATTTAGCTCTTGCATTTATAATAATGCCTTTATGTTTTCTACTGAACCATGGACTGTTGTTCAAGGGTGCTTTTCAATGTTTGTTTTTTTTATTTGCTAGTTTTACACAATTCCATTTTTTTTAAAATGAATTATGTGCAGTTTGTTATTTATATATATTATCCATTTGCAAACTGAAGAATTGTTACCAGTTTAATTTAAGACAAGAGACAGTATGGTGAAGAGACAAGTCCACAGCAGGTATCTTAAATCATCATATTAACCCAATTTAATATTGAAAAAAATGCAATAGCTAAACCACTGAATCACTGCTGAACAATTTAAATGTGTTCTTAATATTGTTGTTAAACAGAAGGGGAGGAGGATAATTGGAAAGGAACATTTTGTATGAAACGAAAACATATTTGTTCATTTAAACTCAATCAGATGAATGAATACATTTAAATAGTCCCCAAGGTATACATTTTAATATAAATTCACCCCGTCCCCTCAATATTTCCCTATTTTAAAAAAAGTGCACAATGTAATTGGATACTGAATGCCAATTAAACATTCATTCTTTGCAAGAAAATACAAGGGCAATAATTTTGGACCTTTTGGTACATTTTATGGGCTATTTTGCAATTCATAGCATAAAACATGTTGCACCAGGGGAGCCAAGGACTACGCTATTTTAACAAAAATATATTCTTTCTGGCCAAATGTTATGCTTTTTAGATTTGTTCACTTTTAACTTTTTATTTTTACTCACACAAATGAAAATGACTTTCCAAATGTAATACAAGACTACCACCTTCAGGACTGAAATGGTACTTTAGAAATAAAACAATAGACTAAAATCTTAGAAATCACTAGAGCCATTTGCCTGCTATTTTTATATGTTTCTATAATTTAACTTTTGAGTAACAAAAATCTATTCTTGCATTAACCAATCCATCATTTAGTAAACAAATCAAAAAAATAGATAAAAAAAAATCTATAGAAAATTATATAGGAAATCTAGTACCTAATGACCTTATTTTTTTGGACTTATACAAATGTTCAATATCTACATCTATGAACTATCACATCTTCTCAAGTAATGTGTATACAGGGAAATAAAGTATTGAAACTTAAGGTCTGATTGTGTATTCATCATACTTGTACAGTAGGGTACATTGTATGGAGGTACAAAGAGTGTATAGATGCTATTGTCCAAAACTAATGACAGTATTTATCCTTAGCAAGCATTGTAATGTACACTGCAAAATGCTTCATATTAACAAATATTAGGTGAATAGCAGAACCGGATTACCTATTGGGTACCAGTGGTTCCCTGTCTGGGCATGGAGATCCGTCTCTGGCTGTGAAGGGGCTCTATTTCAGCCAGCAAGGTGATCAAGAGATCTCTCTACTTGTTCCCGAGTCCCTTCAATACATTGAGAGAGCATTTAGATCTGCATCACTATTGAATGCAGATCACTTTAAGAGCTCCCATGTGGTCTCTGAGTGTTTCTAGATTTGAGTCATGGATTGAGCACCACAGGGACTACTCTTAACCCCTTAAGGACAGAACTTCTGGAATAAAAGGGAATCATGACAGAATATTTCCGTCATATGTCTTTAAGGGGTTAAAGTGGTCTACAATATTGGTGATCTTCACCAGGGATCCAGCTAACCCTACACTGCTTCATTAGGGATAATACCTCCCTCCTACCAAAAGGTAAGCAGGAGGGAGGAAAATTTGAAATTTTACACACACACACAAATATTAGCGCACACAACAGTCAGTCAACACACACAGGCACAATCAGCCCCCCTCCCCCGCACCCAACCCCCTCCTCCCACATACAGCTCTCAGCCATTAACACAGTCACACATTCTCAAACACAACACTCAGTTTCCCCTTAGATATACAACACTCAGTCACCACAGACACAATATCACAGAAACAGATCACAGAAATCTTGGAGAATGCTTTCATCTGGCACCAGCTCAGACACTGGGCTATGTTAATCTGGCTCTGGTGAACAGAATCTCTTGTTTAAAAGTTTATAAGGATGATGTTATGCTATAAACTTACACTTACTACAATCATTTCAAAGCTGATTGTATTAAATTATATATAGAATAAGAAAGCTAGTGCAATCTAATATTAACAAGCAGAGACTGCTGCAGCAGAGTTTATTCTCACATTAAGATAGGACATATCAAGTGTCACATCTTTACAGCAGATATGGAATAAGATGAACAATCTTTTGGAAAATGTGTGAAAATATATTTTTCTATAGAAAGAGGAGATGTCTTTTAAGGGTATGCCATTTACAACCTTGTGTTACACTGATTAAATACTGGCTTCGATGCAGTGGCCATAGACCTTGAAGAAATACAGATGGAATAGACATTAGTCACAGGCCCATCCGCTGAACAATAAGTTAGAAGATTTGGAAAAATCTGTAATTTGGCTGTTAGATATATTTTCTAACTCATCTATTTTGCCTAAATTTTACAACCTGGGTTTCCATAGTACTGTTTAGTGAAGATA